AGTGGTTGTGTGCTCTCCTGGCATGCGTGAGGTACTGGGTTTGATCCTCAGCACCACATTAAAAAAAAAAAAACAAAAAAAAACATTGGGTCCACCTTAAAAAAAAATCTAAAAAAAGTAAAATTAAAAAAAGAATTTAATTAATTTATTAAATGTGTTAAAGCTTATTAAATTTCAGGGTCTTAAAAGTCAGATACTGTGTACATTCATGTGTGTGTATTTGTGTGTGTGTGTGTGTGTGTGTTTAAAACATTCCCTGCCATGTCATAGGAACTTAGATTTGTATTTAAAAAATACAAACTATATAACTATATTTATTGACTGTAATTTTAATTAATTTTTTAGGTCTTAGTTTTTACATGTTAATTTGCTTGATCGTTTTATCAGTTATTCAACAAATGAGTAACCCTATATTAGCTCTCTCTGAAATTAGGAATATTATGATGTTAAATGTGTCACCAGCATCAAAAGTTGATTACTAGGCTGGGGTTGTGGATCAGTGGTAGAGCGCCTGCCTTGCACATGTGAGATACTGGGTTCAATCCTGAGCACCACATAAAAATAAATAAATATATAAAGATACTATACCCATCTACAACTAAAAAAAATATTTTTTAAAGTTGATTACTTATTTTTATGCACTGTACCGTTATGAAGATTGTGTTTTAAATATTATGTAGTTTAATTACTTACAGGTGATGTCAGGCTTTCATACCAGGACCTCTTTTATGTGTTGATTATCATTATTACAGACCCATGCTGTCCCATAGACATCTAGAAGTCATCACCACATCACACTGTGATGAAGGAAGAGTTTTGTATGTGTGCTAATACAGTAGCCAGTAGTCACAGGTTCCATTGAGCTCTTGAAATGTGGCTAGTTTGGGAAACTGACTTTATAATTTTATTCAGTTTTAATAAATTTAAATTTAACCTAAATAACAACATATAATTAGTGGTTACCATATTGAGCAGCATAGTTATAAAACATTATTCTGATAGGATGTGCTGTTTTCATTCAAATTATTTTATGTTGCCATTCATTTGAATTGGTTTGGAATAAACTATCCAACTAGAGAATGAGTTAAGTGAGTTATCCTAAGTTTGTTATAATTAGAGTGACATTTTTCTTTGGCTTTACATAAGAATAAAAATATGCAGGTTGCTACTTGAAACTGAAAGTAAAAAATGTGTTATAGGCTGGTATATCAGGCCTATTATTTGGAGTTTTTTTTTTTTTTTGTGTGTGTGTGTGTGTGAGTGTGTGTGTTGATAAGATTGCAAATAACAGCGAAGAATACTTAAAAATTAAATAAAATAAAAGAATAGAAAATAGTGAAAGGTGAAAGTACTGTTTTGGAACTTCTCAGACTTTTCTTCCATCCTAGGAGAGAAAAGAGAAATACTATTTAAGTCAAAGTTTGCTTTGTTTCAAAGTTTTTATATTATTGAAAACAGTCATGGTGATGTGTTTTTTGCATTTTTAATGTTTGTATAAAAATGCTGTTTTTGTGCCATCAAACTTATTTGTGATGTATGTGTGGGGGTGTGTGTGTGTGTGGGGGTGGGGTGGGGGGGTGTGTCTCTGCCGCAGCCCGGCTGGCTGGGCAAAATAACGGGGGGGGGGGGGGGGGGGGGGGGGGGGGGGGGGGGGTGACGAACAACTTGTGTAGATTGATACAGCAGGAGTAGGAGCCCTTTATTGCAGTACAGGAGCAGTATTTATACATTCCACACAGCTTATCTAATTAGCATAAACTAGATACATCAGTCAACCAATAAGAAATCTCCACACTTAATGGCTCGCTGGTGTTACTTCACAAACCACTCCCTCTGGCATTTTGCCAGGCGCCATCCAGACTTGTTTACAGACTCTAACATGTCTCTGGCAAAATGCCAGGCGCCATCCTGACTTCTTTACAGACTCTAACATGTCTCCTCCTCCTCTTGTAGTGTTGGGGATTGAACCCAGGCTTTGCACATGCTAGGCAAGTGTTCTGTCATTGAGCTCATCTCTGCCATTTTTTTCCCCTCTCAGTGAAGAGCTCTGCTTTTCATCATCAGTATAGATACATAAGTAATAGAAGGGAATCCATTTTTCTACTCCCTCTTCCTGCTGATCCAGCTTTTAAAATGAATTGTTTACATTTACTCTAATTCTTTTTAGTACGCCTTCCACATGATATTGATGAGGTTTGAGAATCATTGTCCTAGCCTATAATAGGGGTCACGATAAGCTATTACTATAATTTGGGATCAGAGGTAATAGAGTGAGAAGACTACTTGTTTACACTTAGAGGTAGAAGAATCAGACTTTTGATCAGGTGAGTTGGTGTTTAAACCTATGATTAGTAATTGTAGGTGAATAAATTAGGATTACACTATGGGTGACAGAAACCTAAAATATAGTAGCAGTGTAAAAAGAAGCTTATGTCTTTCTTTTATAAAAGCAGGTAATCCAAGTTTAGGGACTCCTTTTCTCTTGTTGGCTCATCCTCAGCTTCTATTTCATGGTTCAGTTTCACTGCTGTACCTATAATCATTCTTTTCACATTTCAGTCAGCAGGGGGGAAAATGAAAACATATCCTCTTCTTTTAAAGAAACTTCCTAATGGTTATGCAGAACTTTTAGTCCCAATGACCAAAATTGAGACATTGACCACATTTCATTATAAAGTAGACTGGGAATACAGGTTTTTAATTTCAGGCACCATCTGTGTACAGATATAGTTCACAGGTTCATCCACTATAGGGAAAGGGGAGAACATCTGTGAAGGGTAGAGGGGTTGATGGACAGATGGCTACAGTAAACTTTTGGGAGCATGTTTTGCCCATCAGTAAACAGTGTTGAATGATTATTTACAAGTACTGTACTCTCTTAGGTTAGTTGTGGGAAGTGGAGACTGTAGGGAGAGTAACAAATACAAAAAATTAAAACCTACTACTTGGCTTTCTAAGAAATGTCACACAATTAGGGAGTCAGACATGTATATATAAGTTATAGATAAATGTAGCAATCAAACTAAGTAGTGAGGGTAATAGATTGAGACTCATAGGATTTATTTTTATAGGGAAACATTCTTTAGAGGACTAGAATTTTGGGAAGATGTATTTGAAGAAGGGAATTGACATAGTTTGGGGTAAATGGAGCTCTTTGTACAAGGCAGTAATCACTGTTCAGTACTCTTAACTACTTTTTGAGTCTTAAGACTGATTTTTGCCAGCATGGTAACACGCACCTGTAATCCCAGTGGCTTAGGAGGCTGAGGCAGGAGGATTGTGAGTTCAAAGCCAGTCTCAGCAAAAATGAGGCACTGTCTCTAAATAAAATACAAAATAGGATTGGGGATGTGGCTCAATGGTCTAGTGCCCCTGAGTTCAATCCCCAGTACCCCCAACCCCCCCAAAAAAAGACTGATTTTTTGATCCAGAACTAACGAATTTTATTAACTCTTATGAGAAATCTCTATTGGGTGATAGTAAGGTGTTCTGTTCATAATCTTAATATGTGATAAGTAATAGCCTTGTTAATTTATTAATTTATCTTTTTTAAATATTTATTTTCAGTTTTCGGTGGACACAATATCTTTATTTTTATGTGGTGCTGAGGATCAAACCCAGCGCCCCACACATGCTAGGTGAGCGCATTACCACTTGAGCCACATCCACAGCCCTAATTTATCTTAAATTACATTTGACTGCTATTTATAATAGTTTCCTCAGTTTAAAAGAAGATGAAAGGTTTGTTTTCTAACTTGTATGTGGTAATAGAACCATCATAATGTATGATGTTCCAGTTGAATAATTAAACTGTTTCATAGAGAACATAGATAAGTTTTATGTGTGGAGATAAAGAAGCCAAAAAGTCACAGGAGAGAAAACAAGGGGAGTAAACTTTGATTATTATAAAAAATAGTGGATTTGGTAAAGTGCACTGGTGTCTTAACAGGTAAAAATGAATCAGTATTCTGTAGTAATGTGATTTTGTATTTTTTACATTACATTATAATGTGTACATTTATTCTTTATCATAAAATATTCTCAAAAGCATGAGTTTTAAAATTGTACAATACTCTGTGGTTTAGAATTACTGTAATGATTTACCTGTACTTTTATAAAGACATTTAAATTGCTTGTAAAATTTTTGTTCCTATAAACCAAGTGAAAATAAACAGTTTAAACCTTTAAAAAGTGAATTAGTGACCACAGAACTACCTAGTTAGGATTTTGAATATTACTGGAGAGAATGTTGAAGTAGCAGATGAGAGAGATAATGGTCCTGCAGAGAGTAGTGGAATTAAGCAATCAGTATCTTATAAAATTTGGACTTCAATAATCTATTAAAGAAAATTAAAGCAAAGTTTAAGATTGTTTACTTACCTAAACTAATATAGTAAACAAGTAGGGATATTTATGTGCTTCCTTAAGTATATATATTTTAAGTTAGTTAGACTTTATCTATTTATTATACCAGTGATTGAACCCATGGGTGTTTTACCACTGAGCCACATTCTCAGTCCTTTTTACCTTTGTTGTTTTGAGACAGAGTTCCACTTAGTTGCTGAGGCTGGCCGAAGCCTCCTAGGATAACAGGTGTGCCCCACCACATCTAGCAGTTTCATGTATTTATTAATGTCTAAGTCATATTGACTTTTTATTAGTGAAATGATATTTTTGTTTGGAAAACAAATCCTTAACTTTTTTTTTTTAAAGAGAGAGAGAGAAAGAGAATTTTTTTTTTAATATTTATTTTTTAGTTTTTGGCGGACACAACATCTTTGTTTGTATGTGGTTCTGAGGATCGAACCCGGGCCGCACACCAGGCGAGCACGCTACCGCTTGAGCCATATCCCCAGCCCACAGATCCTTAACTTTAAAACGGTTTATTCTTTTCCAGTAGAGTGTTGCTGTATGGACTATTAAGTTTATGAAATAAATAAAGTTTTGTTCAAATATAAATATACTTTCACTAGACTTACTGTATTTCTTCTTATTTATAGGCCTTTTTGCAGATGTGTAATCTGCCTGTCAAAGTGGTTTATAGGGCAAATGCAGAATATATGTCTCCATCTGGTAAGTATGATTTTTTTTTTCCTTCTCTGTTTACATTCTGGATTGATAAAATTATAATTTGTGTCGATGTTAAAAATGCTTGATTTTTTTTGTTGTTGTTCTTGTTGTTTACTTTTGAAGAATTTTCACATTGTTTTGTAAAGTAATAATTGCAATCTTAACAATCTTGGAATCAGTCTGTCTACAGATTTCAACTCTGATCAGAGATGGTTACTGATATGTTATGAAAATTATTTTAAATAAGTAAATATTAAGGAAATACATAATCTCAGATTTTCCTAGTTTTACTTACACAGGACAAATTCTAATATTAAACAAATTCTAATATTAATGAATCTCTTTATTATTGAACACACTTGTCTAAATTATCTTGTCGCATAATATTAGGGAGAAGAAGGAATATCATGGAATAATTGTCACTAGATCTTAGTTAAAATCATTGTCGACATTTTTTAGTTTCTAACTCTTTATTATTTATTTATTTATTTATTATTTTTTTGCAGGAGATACCCTAAGATTTATTTTGTAAATTTACATGGTGGTGGGAAGAATGTTGTAGAGCAGAACCGTTCACATGGTAGCCAGGAAGAGGGGAGGGAGGGAAGGAAGGAGGGAGGGAGAGGGAGAGAGGAAGGAGGAGGGAGGGAGGGAGGAGAAGAAAGGGAGAAGGGGGCAGGAGGGATTGAGGGAGGAAGGGAAGGGAAGGAAGGCTATGTTTTATTTTAACAGATTTTAAGATATTATTTATTAAAATGTTACCTATTGCTATGTTTCATGATCAGTATTTTGTTTCTGTGTTTTGTATTCTAGTTGACTAACGTAGTGTTTAAATATGATTTAAATTATTTTCAATACAAAAATATATCACAAAGCTATTAAATAAATGTTAAATGTAATTGACATGAGTTATTTTAATTGTGGTTTTACTGGAGCAGTAATAGCACATGGGATCACTCCTTCATGGATAAATTGTTGAATATAACTATATTGCTTTTTTAGGGAGAAAATATTAGTTCTTTTCATTGTGATATGATGATAACTTAGGAATGACTTGTTAAGCTTTTTTTTTTTTTCACCCTAAGTTTTTATGGGTAGTGGTAATTGTCAAAAGATATAAAGATACCAATCCCATACACACTGAAGATTCTGAATGTATACATATGCATTTATTAGACTTATGTGCTGAGAGCCACGGCCGAGTCTGTATGGCCCCTGGCATTTTGCCAACAGTATTGATTGACAGGCGAGGCATTACTATCTGCCTCTGCCCAACTTTTGAGTTCTCGCACTATTTTGGAGTTCTCTTGGGGATTTCCGGGGATTCCCCGAGAGTTCCCATTGGTTGGGGAAGTGCAGGAGGAGGGATTTCCGGGAGAGATATTTCCAGCTGGGGGTTCCTGGACAAGCCTCGTGGCGTTGGGGAGGATTCCCCGGGAGCTGTGTGGAATGTATAAATACTGCTCCTGTCCTGCAATAAACGGCTCCTACTCCTGCTATATCAACATACACAAGTTATTCGTCACCCCCCCCCCCACCCCCGTTATTCTCCTGCAGCCGGACTGCGGCACTTATGAATATACATTTAGAAAATATTTCCAAAATAATTTTTTAGACTTCTAAATGTCAATATATTTTAGATTCATGGAATTCATTCATTGACTCATTTTAAGCTGATTTTATAGATGAAGTTTTTTTATAAACTTTTCTGAATTCTGTTGAAATATATGTGTTCTTTCCATCTTTTTTTTTCTGTAGTCATACTGAGAGTGTATACATATATCTGTATATATGTACACACACAAGAAAAGATCAGTAATCTAATACCAAAATTGAAAACTTTGGTAAATAATAAGTCATGGTTCATCTACTATGTATAAGTTACTATGTTTAAGTTACTATGTTTAGTATCACTTAGTTAGTTAATTGTCTTCTTTTCATACTCCATGAAAGACAACAGGGAAAGATACAGTACATTTCTCATTCATAGGTGGAGTCTCCTGTAAGTATTTGAAAATGACTAAGATATTTACATTTAGTCATATCTCTTAGTAGTATTCCCCTTCATCACATGAGTTGAGGTGATAAGGGGCAATGTTTAAAAATTTTATTTGCTTGTTTGACCTTTGATAGTTGCCTAGGAAGTCCTTGGAGAAAGGATAGTCTTTTCAACAAATGGAGTTGGGCCAATTGGTTATCCATAGGCAAAGAGGAGAAAAACAGAACTTCAATCAATACATTGCACCATATACAATATTAAAATTTATAATAGCTGAACTATGGAACCATACTAGGTGTCCATCAATGGATGACTGGATCAAGAAAATGGAGTTTTATTCAGCTATAATGGAAAAATGAAATTATGTCATTTGCAGGAAAACAGAAAGAACTTAAATAAGTAAGCCAAACTCAGAATGTCAAGGGTTGTATTTTTTTCTCATATGTGGAAACTAGAGAGGAAAAAGGAAAAGAAAGGTAGGGGTGATCACATGAAAATCAAAGGGAGATCAGTAGAGTAGAGGAAATGGACTAGGGGGAAGGAGAAGGGAAGAGAGAGGAGAAATACTGAAGAATGATACTGGCCAAATTATACTGTTATATTATATGCATGTACAAATATGTAAAACAAATCCCACCATCATGTACAACTATAATGCACTAATTAAAAAATAAGGAAAAAAATTTAGCTATTCTGATAGGTGTGTAGTAATTTCCCGTTGTGGTTTTAATTTGTCTTTCCCTAGTGACTGATGATATTGAGTATCTTTTCGTATGTTTGACATTCATATATCTTCTTTGGTAAAGTACTGTTCAGATTTTTTCCCATTTAAAAAATATGATTATTTGTTTTCTTATTGAGTTGTAATAGATTTTTAAAGCAGAGAGCAAAAAATAGAAGACTATTTGTCTTAAAGAGTTAAATCTTTTTTTTTTATTTTTAATTTATTCTTTAGTTTTCAGTGGACACAACATCTTTGTTTGTATGTGGTGCTGAGGATCGAACCTTGGCCCCATGCATGCCAGGCGAGCACACTACCGCTTGAGCCACATCCCCAGCCCCAAGAGTTAAATCTTTATCTATGACTTTGTCAAATACGAAACAATTCCTTGGGAAATTTGACTTCTCTTCAGTAAACTTCCTCTGTGATATGAGATGGGCAAATTAGATGACATCCAAGGTTCTTTCTGTTTCTGACATTCTCTGAGTCTACAAACTTGTTTGGCAATGTGTTCTTGCTTTTTCATAGAAATAAAGTTCTAGGGCTGAGGATGTGGCTCAGCGGTAGAGTGCTTGCCTCGCACGTGCAAGACCCTGCGTTCGATCCTCAGCACCACATAAAAATAAATAAATAAAAATAAAGGTATTGTGTCCAACTACAACTAAAAAATAAATATTAAAAAGAGAAATAAAGTTCTAAAAGTGACTATTCTGCCTAAAATGAAAAACAGCCCTCAGTTTTCTTTTATGACCTTTGCTGCCAGAGAATAACTGTCACTGTGCTTTTGCCTGATAACCTGCAATAATAACCATTTAACATTGGCTCTATTTTAAGTCAAGGTAGTGACAGAAAACATTGTTCACTTGTAATCTGTTGCCTTGTGTGGCGAGTGGCGCTATTAATAATTACTTGGAGGCAAATTGTCTTTCAATGCAAGCGTATATTCGATCACACCAATCACCATATATAAACAATTAATACAACAAATGTTGGATGTGCTGGAGCACCTCAACTGGCATTCCATACACACTAATTAAACACTATAAGCAAATTGCACAATCCTAGGGCAATCATAAGCCCCAAAATACCTCTGATGCCACGTGACTTCTCCTAGCTAAAGAGCAGACATTGTCCTTGTCTGGTGGTTCTCTCCAGCTGATAGCTGGTCGTCAGGGAATGGGTCAGTTTGGGGATGCACAGCAAGGCAGCCAGTCTCACCAGTGTTCTTGGAGCAAAACTCTTCAGTGTGGCAGGACAAGCATTTTAAATACAGTTCGAAGTCGGTGGTGTACCTTGGTGATTGGTTACATCCAGTAATAGTCAGTGTCCATTGGTTATGACTAAAATCTTACCAAAATTTTAGTCAAGTTAAAAAATGATGTAATTGCAACTGGGAATGTTCTTCACGCATGTCCATGGACATTTGCTCCCTATTAATTGTAACCAGTCATTGTTTAAGCATGCCTATGGCTAGTGCCCCTTACAGGTCTTTATCAATAGCAAGCAGACATGACGAAACAGTTCAATGGCTGCTCTTCCTCATGGCCAGCAACTTCAGTGAGTCCCAGCATTGTCTATGGCAGATGTTCCTTACACCTTGATTTTTATATATCTCTTTATGATTAGATACATGAGTACTCACTTGAGCATCCAGACTTCTTCCCTCCTTCAGAATCTATAGTGCTCAGTATATTTTTAAGAAAAGAAATATACTTTTTCCAAGAATTTGAAACTACTTATTAAGGAGAAATATACTTTCCTCTAAAAATGACATACCCCCAAATACCCTTTAGTCTAGGCACTAGTTTTTAGTTGTTGTTGTTGTTTTGTTTTGTTTTTTAATCTCAGATGACCTGTACTCTTTGTAATAGTACAGTAGTTACAAAGATTTTAGTGAAGTTAAAAAACGATGGGCTAATACTTGCCCTGCTAAGAAATACTTTTTTACAAGATTTATAAAGCAGTAGAAGGAAGGAATGTACACTTGGTAACAGGGAAATGTTCTCTGGAAGAAAGGAATGCACAATTGTTAACAGGGAAATGTCTTCTAAATACATCTATTGAGTTGTATTCCAAAAGGCCTGCCTTTCCTTTGTAATGCATGTTATCCTGTGGATACAGATGAAGCTTTTGTTGGTGCTGTGCACCTCATCCATTGCCCCCAGGCTGACTGAGCCAAGAAGTGAATCCATTGAAAGGGATCAGGAAGAAGCCTGCTGTTAGTGTGAACTCTATTTGAACTAGATCTGACAGCAGGTTTCATCCTTTAGTGTTTGGAGTAGTCCTTACTATTTGTTCTCCTCATTTCTGACAATATCATCAAATATTAGAATTTATTAAAATGAACGGTTACATTTTAAATGTGGCCTTTTTTTAAAAAAGTAGGCAGTTTTTAGAGGCATACCATTCCTTTTGCCCTTGAGTATTAGGAACATGCTTTGTATGCTCACAAACTAGCATACCTTCAAAGATTGTTAATTCTTTTAATTCGTGATATTTTAAGTCAGAGACATTTAGTAATGCATCATTATGTACTCAAAATTGACCTTAATTTATACCAGAGATTTAAATTTTGAAAATGTAAAAAGACTTCTTATATGTAGTTCACAATATAGATTGATTCATTGTGCAGTACTCCAAAGAGAAAGCCAAGTTAAATATCTTTGAACTTTGTAAGTGTTCATGAATTATGTCCTGGCTGCTATATAGTGATTTGTTAGGATTACTGAAAAGAGAATTTTGTGATCTGTTATTATATCCAGGTGAGAACTCTAGAAATGAATCTACTTGTTCTTTTTTCTTTTGTTTTTTTGAGATTGATTAGTAATGAGTGTATAAACAGTTGTGGAGTTTAAACGTATCTGATTATAATATTTAAAAGTTATATTTGTATAACTATAAAATCTTCGTGTTCATAAAACATGCCTGAATTTTTTATTGTTTCTTTTATTAGCACAAACTTTAATTTATTGAAAGTATTTTACACATTTTTTTCCCTTGACAGGTAAAGTACCTTTTATTCATGTGGGAAATCAAGTAGTCTCAGAACTTGGTCCAATAGTCCAATTTGTTAAAGCCAAGGTAATAAATAAGACACTAAATATATTTGATCACACTTTAAATAAATCATCCATCATTCTTCAGCATGTCTTAACATTTACATTAATTTTAACCTAGTTTTATAAAATGAGTAAACTACAAGAAAATATTTCTAAAGTATAAATTGATATTTTTTTCATAGTATAAATCAGTGACAAAAGAGGTAATTTGATCTTAATAAAATGGTATATAATTTTCTAATATGCTAGTGAAAATTTTAGTCATAAATGAAAACTTAGGTTATTATAAAGTATCTCATTGACCTTTGAGAAGGTAGATGCAGGATGTATTTATAAGTTGAAGGTATTAGTTTATTCATTTTAATGATTGTACTTTTCATTTATTTAGTTTAGATTTTAATAGTTATCTAAAAACGATACCCATTAATATTTTGGGCATCATGATAGTTTGCAACCTAGCTTTTCAAATCACCAACATATCTCTTAAATTCTTCCATGTTAATGACTGTGGATATATAGATATACATCATCCTTTTAAATTGTTGTATGGTATTCTATTGAATTGAATGTATTATAATTTTATTTACCCAAGTATTTATTGATTAGCATTTAGGTTATAGTGAAGGTTTTTTGCTATTACGAATGCCAGAATAGGTGTTCTTGTACATACAATTTTTTTTACAATTGTCTTATTAGAATAAATCCTGCGAGTGGTATTGGATGGAATTGGGGTATGCTTTTTAAAATTTTTGTGACATTGCCAGATAGAACTAAGGGTTATATCATTTTAGTATATATTCATTACTGTACTTTATTAGAATTTTGAAATTAGTGTCTTTTTCCCCATATCTTTTCTAACATATTTTTCGTCCTTGGTCACTTTATAAACAACATGTCAATCATCTAGCATTTTAAAAAAATTATGGTTAATCTCTTAAAAAAATATTTACTAACTATTCTGTTTTCCTTTTTCGTGACAATTGATAATATAATTTTGTTCATTGAAAGATACATTTGTATAATGACAAATACAACTTCGATAGTTTAAGATATGTTTTTATATAAAATTATTTTAGGAGGCCCCTTAAAATTAATCTGTTGGACACTTGCATGTTATATTACTTGTTAGTATGATAACTGTAAGTTTTTGCATATTTAATATGATGCTCTTTCAAATTTTTTTAAACTCCCTTTAGGGCCATTCTCTTAGTGATGGGTTGGATGAAGTCCAAAAAGCAGAAATGAAAGCTTACATGGAATTAGTCAACAATATGCTGTTGACTGCAGAGGTATAAGATAATAGGACTTGAAATAAAATATTTTATAATCTTTATTCTCTCATAAAATATAAACCTTTTATGTATTACTTTTAAAGTTGTTAGGAAATGGGAAAACAATCAAGTGATTCTGGGGGTAAGATGGGTACTTAAATTATTTGATCATTGTTTTTGAATAAGTTACTTTATATTTTCAGTTTTAGTTTTTCCTAAATGTAAGAAGTGGTGATTCTTGCTTACTCATTGTTTTATTTTGGCCTTTTAAAATTTATTTAAGTAATTATCTATAAAATACTTTAATCGTATTTAGATATGTATTATGTGAATAAGAAATATTTTTATAAAGTACCACCATTAAATTTAATAATTCTGTACAGCAGCATTAGCTAAGGAAAAAAAAAAACCCTCATAATAAGTGACTTACAAAGTTGGCTTATAAAAATTTACTGTAGTAAGAAATAACTTTCTTTATCTTTTTTCTCTTTGATATTCTGAAGTTTTAGTGACTGTTCTTTTGTTCCTAGTTGTATCTTCAGTGGTGTGATGAAGCTACAGTAGGGGAGGTGAGTGGTTCTGCAGCATTTATCTTAATTAAAATTTAATGAGAAAACACTTTTGCTCAGAATCGTAAGTCCCTGCTCATAAATGAAACATTGTGGTTTATACCATTAGTGATATAGTTTTTCACTTACTTTAATTTTGCTTGCACATACATTTTAGGGAAGCTGTGTGTCATTGTTTGATATAACTGGTTGTAAAGTACATAAAAGTTTATATATTTTTAAAGGGAATGGTTTAAAATTTTAATTTTTTGAGTTGCAAGCTATTTGGTGTTTTTTTCAAATTGCTTTATTTATATTCTCAAATATATTTATTAAGAATTCTGTTTATAAAAACAGGCATTGTTTTTAGGAAGGATCATGCTTTCTTACAAAATCTTTTTGCTTTAGATCACTCATGCTAGGTATGGATCTCCTTACCCTTGGCCTCTGAATCATATTTTGGCCTATCAGAAACAATGGGAAGTCAAACGTAAGATGAAAGCAATTGGATGGGGTAACAAGACTCTGGATCAGGTCAGTTCAAGTTAAAGGTGAAAAAAATGCTTAACTCTTGCTTTGAAAATGGTAATCCTTTAAGAGAATCGCAAAATAATATAATATTAGCAAACATTTGCTACAGTTGTCTCATAAAGTAGTTTATTTTCTATAAATCACACTTGTTTATTGTCAAAAAATTTATGTAATGCAGAACAGTGCAAAAGAGAAGTAAAAATTATCTGAAATCCTACCACCACAAATAGTTGCACACAATTATTTGGAGAACATTCTTCTTGATGTCTTTTAGTCATATTGTCCTTCAATGGGATCATATTTTGCCTGCCACTCTGTAATATGATTTTTTTTTCCTGTTGAACAATACATTGTGGGCATCTTTCTGTCAATAAATATAGATCTTAAATACAGTACTTAATATATCTGATTTTGGGAGGTCTTAAATTTACTAAAGTAGCAAAATTAAAAAATATAATATCTTGTCAAGATGGTGATTTTGAGCATCATTTTAAGCTAATTAATGTTTCTTTTTGTCAAGTTTACCCCCAGTCCTAGCTAACCATCTCACAAAGGGGATTAAGCAAATGAATAGGGATGGAGTAAATAAAATCCATCTCCACTAGTGGGAAAACAACTTAAATGTTTTACTCATGGTAGGTCGGCAATATCATCTTTATGGGGCATACTTTTTAATGTTTGCAAAAATAATTTGAATATATGGATTCAGGAAAACTTTTTTTTAGGGAGCACAGTTTTGAGGGGGAAAAAAGCTTTCTTGATAGTAATCCTTTTGAGTAACTTTAATGCACTTGTATTTAAAGAAAATTCAGTCTCAAATTTTTTTCCTATTTCTTACGTAGAAAACATTACTAATATATATGTGGTCTATTGTCTTATTTAAGTATAAAAAGTAAACTAAATGCATATTTTCATTATAAGCTGTGATACAAACTGTTTTGTTAATTTAAATGTTTTTCTTTGGGCTCCATTGTGTATGTTAGGTCTTAGAGGATGTGGACCAGTGCTGTCAGGCTCTTTCTCAAAGACTAGGAACACAACCATATTTCTTCAATAAACAGTAAGACATTTATCATTATTGTTATTATTACTATTGGTTCTTTTTTTTATATTATTAGGTTGTAGATTTCTTGTATCCTAAGGAATTGTTTTTCAAGAAATATTAGTAAAAAGACTTATTTTTAAAATTCACTTTTTATACTCATTATAAAAATACTCTGGTAAGTTGCTAGGCTCTGGGGAATTAAGATTTCTAAAGGTGGTCCTAGTCATTAGGAAGTTTTCTTAAGGGTACTCATGTAAATCAGTCATTATTGTATGATATGATAAAGGTTCTAATGGAGTTCAAGTGCTGTGTGTAGAACTCTAAAATCTTAAAATTCTGTTACTACAAAAAATACATGAAGATGCTCTTCACACAAGCATTATCTATATGGGTTCCCAGAGACTAGAAGAGTCTGCAAAACTAAACAATAAAGAATATTATTGGATAGACAAGCACCACTATTAATTACTTTTACAATCTATGAAAATATTTTAAAGTATAAAATATTAATATTGAAGGATATAGATCAAATGTATATATGCACATAAATTGAGTAATTCATGTTTATTGACTTTTTTGTAATTTTGAAAAAAATCACTAATGTAGGCAAAGAATGACTTTTCCTTTATTTAAAAAATTATAGTTTTAATATATCAAAGGTGGCTCTTCAGTGATTCAGTGTAAGATGGGCTTAACCAAGCATTTTAATCCCAGTGATTTGCTTAGAAAGTCTGACCTTTAATTGGCTTGCTTTTTAGATTGATAATTTTAAAAAATATTTTTAGATGTAGATGGACACAATACCTTATTTATTTTTTTATGTGGTACTGAGGTTTGAACCCAGTGCCTCACACTAGGCAAGCACTCTACCACTAGAGCGCTAGCCTCAGCCCCTTCAATTGCTAATTTTTTTAAGGGCATTTTTTTGCTACTTTATATCTTCATAGGCATTCATTTATAGCCATGTCAAATATCTTTTGGTTAAGATATTTATATTTGTTGTAAAAATGACTATAATGACAGCTTGTGAATATTTAAATTATTTTATAATATAAGTGATGTTTATTTTATATATAACATATTTAGATAAAACCTGGGCCTTCTTGATTTCTGATGCAGAAAGGTTACATAGTTCAAACCATGAAGTTGTGGTAGGCACAGCTTCAACTATATTCCTATTTCCATTATTAGTCCTTAAAATAAAGATATGTATTTAAATGTTTATATTATATAGTACCTTTTCTTTCTGATAAAAAGAAATCTTAGGTATTCAAAATCTCAGAAGGGATGTGTTTTATTGTTGAAGTGCATTATTCTGTTTTAGTAATGAGTTAGTTTTGTTATGCATGCTATCTTTAGAGGAGGCCTGGAAAATATATTTAACTTCTTTTTCTTCTCAGTTAAATTCACTGTCAAAATGTTTGTTACCAGAGATCATTTGGCATGTGATTCAGAGGAACTATCAAAATATTGTTTTTCTTCATAAAAGTATAATTATATTTAAACTTATATTAAGAAATTCAAATTTAAAACAGTTACATAAACCAAAGCCTTGCATTTAGGAACTGTTTAATAGATGTTAAGATGTAGGTATTCAAGGGACTGGGGCTGTGGCTCACAGTAGTGCACTTGCCTGGCATGTGTTTAGGCACTGGGTTTGAAGATGTAGGTGTTTGAAATTTTACCTTATATGATATTTGAACAGATAAACATTTTTCCCTAACCAATAATAATGACTGAAGAATAGAATAAATTTAAATTTTACATTTTAGTTTTACCCAATCATTTAACCAATGTTAAAATTGGAGAATATCATGCTAAGCAAAGTAAGCCAATTCCAAAATATCAAAGGCCAAATGTTCTCTCTGATAGGTGGATGCTGATCCACAATGGGGGGAGAGGCATGAGAAAAATGGAGGAACTTTGATGGGGCAAAGGGGAGGAGGCATGGGGGCAGGAAAGATGGTAGAATGAGATGGACATCATCACCCTAGGTACATGTATGACTACACATATAGTGTGATGCTACGTACATACATGCTACATACATACATACATGGTGCGTGTACAACCAGAGAAATGAAAAGTTGTGCTACAGTTGTGTACAATGAATCAAAATGCATTCTGCTGTCAAATATACCTAATTAAAATAAATTAATTTATTTATTAAAAAGAGAAAACTGTAACTTGTATTTGCTGTGGCAAAATTTTTCTCTTTCCCTTTATCTGTAGCAGGAGTCATTCCTTTGTCATGGAGTACTCCACCTTAGTTGATATATATATATATATATATATATCTATATTAAATGCTCTGTACTTCATGGGCCCTGAGTTCTTATTCTTAGCTCTAACATACTCTAACATATGTTGAGTTTAGACAGGTTCTTTTAATTTCTTTATTTATTCTTCCTTTACCCCCTAAAATTAAAATAAAGTTTCTTCCTGGATTACCTACTGGGGATGTTGAGAGAAGACTCATGAAATAAACCAAATGGCTTTACTTAATGAGAGAAAGAAAAATTAGATTATTAAGGGAGATTTTACAGCAAGAATAATAATTGGGAAAAGAGGACATTGAAGCAATGGGCATGATTTACAAACTTAAGTGATAATTTTAAAGATATAGAAAGGATATGTAGCTTATTTCTAGTAGTGTAAGGAGATGAGAAGTTAATAGTATATTAGGAAAATAAACACTCAGACAAAATAAATATTTTTGACTAGATGATACTAAAAAGGGTATCAGAGAAAGCAAGAGTAGGAAATATGAACAAATAAGCAAACAAAAATATGAATGCTACAAAAAATTGAAAATGGAAAAGGTCAGGAAATTGGTCACATTTACAGTACTGTTTTTATTTTGATATTCAAATGAAAGGACAGTAGATAACCAAAAGAAATGTGGAAAAACTGATACAATGTAAGAAAAGAAGGCAACAAATTTCTCCGAAATTAAATTTTTTTTTGTTATCTTAGACTATCTTTCTAATAAAAAGCCTGTATAGATAAATGTGATGATATGTTTGAAATATCTTAGCGCTCTTAGGAGGAAAATTGCTATTGCTATTCAGATTATAAAACAAACAAATCCACTGGTGAGTATAAGGTTGGAAAATTTATTTTCTCTTGATTTAGTGTATCATAGAAACTAAAATGGGAGATAACACTCCAAATTGAGCATAACATTCCTATTTGAACTCATTTATTGATAAAGAAGGCCCAGTTATACCACTGGAAGTAGCATCAGTGAATGCATTCATGTTTTTTAAACCTTTGGTATAAGAAGCAAAGAGTATTTGGCATTATTGGGGGAAAAATGCCCTACTAGTAAGATAGATATAAATTTTAAGAAATATGTTTAGGGATGTTGAAGAGTTGGTATTTATATTGCTTCTCACAACATGCCTCAGCTGTACATTTATTCACTGTCCATCCTTGGTTCTTTGCAGGGATCTGTTTTGTTATTGAGTCTTGATCTGTGATGAAAAGATTCTGATGCTGTTGAGTCCAAGCACACTCGTGATTTTTAAAAAGCTCTGCTATTGATTGGCCTCTTCAGCATGACCATAGACTGCACATCTTTAATTAATACCTCATGAATGTATCAAAAGAGGGAAGGCTTTGAAAGGATGTGAATGACTACTATCAAAAAATAAATTATCCCACACTCCTTAGGTAGGATGCTCTCTTTGCTTAACAAATACTGGTTCAGATTCTTAGATATTGTGCTACAAGCGGGGCTATAAAAATATGTGCAATGTTGTCTCTCTTTGAAGAACTTGGAGTGTGGTAAGGGAAGCAGTTAAGCAAATGAAGTTGTAGTGTGGTATGAGAAGTGCATCAGTCCATGTTGAGAACCTGCTTTGTGCCAGGCATTGTTCTGAGTATTGGGAATATAGCAGGAAAGAAGTGGACAAGGTCCTTCCTCTCATAGAACCTATATTCTGTTAGAGGAGATGTACAATACACAATAAATATTGGATTGTATTAAATGCTACTTGGAGAATTAGAAGATCACATCACAGCAAGTAACTGTGTATCTAGTTTGAGTGGTCAGGGGAGGCTTTAAGGTGTGACATTTGAGTGTTATTCTGAAAAACTAGGATCCAATAATGTGAAGTCAGAGGAAGAATATTCCAGGCAGTAGGCATAGTTTGTGTCAAGTCCCCAAGATTGGCATGAGTGTTTCATAAAAAAAAAAAAAAAAACACGGAAAAGCCAGTTTTGATTACGTTGTTGATAATGGTAGATGACGCCAAAGAGGTGGGCAGGGACCAGGTCATCTAGCCTTGTATACTTAGAGTAGGTAGTTTGCCATTTTAATGAAAGTGTATTAAAAATGGAATATTTATTATGGCATTTTTTCCTTTTAATAATATTGCATTCGTAATTATTTTAATATAGTATAGCTTGGTGATGCTCCATTTATATAACATTTATTCTGGAGTAAATTTTATTTTGTTGTAATGTATGATTAAAGAGAAAGAAAACTAGAATAGTTTATGTTTAGACCTTATGATTGTTACCTTCAAAAATCCAAATTGCTTTAAAAGCAGAATAATTAAAGTTATATCATGTTGCTGATACTTGGTTGGGTAATTAGGTATCACTATTTTTTTCCCTCATCACCATAGTGGAAATGTTTATAAATCCTTTTTTTTGGGGGGAGGGGTAGTGCTGGGATTGAACCCAGGGCCTTGTGCATGCAAGACAAGCACTCTACTAACTGAGCTATATCCGTAGCCTTTTTGTCTTTAAATCTATTAAAACATTTAAAAATTATGTTGTAATAATTTTATGTTTTTTGTCCATGTTTTAGAGTATCTCTCTGTTTTAAAAATAATCTCTAATATCTGGCATTTTCTTTTTTTAATTAATTAACAAATTTATTCTACTTAGGTATATATGACAGAATGTATTTTGATTCATCGTACATAATTGCAGCACAACTTTTCATTTTTCTGGTTGTTCATGATGTAGCATCGCATCATATGTACAGCCATACATGTACCTAGGGTAATGATGTCCATCTCATTCCACTATCTTTCCTGCCTCTATACCCGCTTCTCACTTCTCCTTCCCCTTTGTCCTATCTAAAGTTCTTCCATTTTTACTATCCCCTCCCTCCCATTATGGATCAGCATCCATACATATATCATAGAGAATAGTCAGCCTTTGGTTTTTTGGGATTGGCTTACTTCACTTAGCATGATATTCTCCAACTCCATCCATTTACCTGAAAATGCCATAATTTTATTCTCTTTTAATGCTGAGTAATATTCCATTGTGTATATATACCACCATTCTTATCCATTCATCTGTAGAAGGGCATTTAGGTTAGTTCTTCAGTTTAGCTATTGTGAATTGAGCTGCTATAAACATTGATGTGCCTGTGTCACTGTAATATGCTGAGTTTAAGTCCTTTGGGTATCAGCCTAAGAGTAAGATACTGGGTCAAATGATGGTTCCATCCAAGTTTCAAGGAATCTCCATACTGTTTTCCAGATTGGTTGCACCAATTTGTAGTTCCACCAGCAATTAATACCTAGCATTTTCTGAATATATGATCTACTGTATGTATATGGTGACTAACATAATGAATAAAATTGATCTATTATATCTATATATTTTTAACTCATTTAAGTAATACTACTTGAAAAAGCAAATCATATAATTCACAAATCATAGTTTAAAGTCTAACAGAAACTTTAAGTTAAAATGAAATAAATTCTATCAATTCATAGGATTCTTTACATTCTTCTTCTTCTTTTTTTTTTTGTTATCAGGAATTGAACCCAGGGGTACTTAACAACTGAGCCACATCCCCAATCCCTTTTATTATTATTTTTTAATTTTGAGACAGGGTCTAGCTTAGTTGCTTAGGGCATTGCCAAATTGCTGAGGCTGGCTTTGAACTTGTGATCCTCCTATCTTAGCCTCTCCAGCCACTGGGATTATAGGCATGCACCACCACTACATTTTTCTTTTAAATTGATGAATAAAATGTTTTTAGAAATAATATATGGTAGTGTCACTCATATTACTCTCATTTTTACCTTTGTTTTAGGCCTACTGAACTCGATGCACTGGTATTTGGTCATCTATATACCATTCTAACCACACAGTTGACCAATGATGAACTGTCTGAGAAGGTCAAAAACTATAGCAACCTCCTGGCTTTCTGTAGAAGAATTGAACAGCACTATTTTGAAGATCGTGGTAAAGGCAGGTTGTCTTAGAGATATGTTAGTTATTATTTCTTTAAAGATCTGATTTTTGAAATATGTGTTACTTGATAGATATAATAGATATTGATATCAGAATTTTAAACGAAAACCAATTTTTTGAAACCTCAAAACAAATTATATAATGTATCCTGTACATGTTCTTTGTACTGTTATTTGTGTACTGTTATTGAACTATTTCATTTGACATATTGTACTCTACATCTTGAAGTTTTTGTTCCCTTATAAACATATAAAAATAAAGCTTAAACAACTGTACAGTTGTTATATTTACTTTCCTTTGATCTTTCTGAAGTTGTTCACTGGGCTTTATATATATGGAATAAACAGTGTCTTTTCTACAGCAAGTATTTGGTGTTACATACTCTTGAGATTACTTCACTAGATACATGATGATGAAACTGGTCATGTGAAAAATGTTCTTCACATCTAAATTGAATTGAAGAACATTTCATCAGAGCAGCTATGACTTAATTTGATAAAAGAATGGGTTGAAGGACCTTATTTCTTTTGAGACAAGAATATTTTAATAATGCTCTTTTATTTCTTTTTTGGAAAAGGAAGGATAGTTTTCACAGAAGTATTGGTGAGGATTTATATATAGACATTAAGAATTATATGTTGTGCTTGTCTCAAATTTTCTAATATTTTGTTTTTGATAAAACCAGTGATGCCATAAAGATTTAAAAATTTTGTTAAAAATGTCTAAATAGTGGTACTTTCATATTTTCTTCTTTAAGTACCAGGGATTTTTGACTGATTTAACCCTTAAAAAAATGCTATCATGGTTGTCCCCAGTTTACAAATAAGGAAGTGGAGACACAGACAGGATAATACCTTGCCCCAAGGATATAGTTTGTAAATGGTTGAGTTGGAATTCAAACCCAGGCAATCTGATATCAATTGGCTTCCTTTGCCTTTTTTTTCCTCTTAAGATTATAGATTTATACGATATAAAGGATATATTAGGTTCTTCTTGTCAAAACCCCACATAAACTTTGAGTACTCTGTGAACTATAGTGCTATCACTAGCTTTTCTGGAATAATTTTGTAATGTGTAATATTAAAATTAAAAAGTCCCTTGTTACCTGTGTTTTTGCAATTTTTATAACTGGTCTTTGTTTAGATGGTTTGCATATAATGCATTTCTTTTACTATTGCAATCACATTTATTTAATTGGATAAATATTATACCTTAGTTTGCCGAGTTTAATTTTTTTTCTTTTTGAGTTTTTTGCATAATTATACCATATCACCAGGGGTTGTGATATTTTAATCTTAATGATTACACTTGGCTGTATTCTTATTGTAATATGAGGAACATTGGTAAACATTGGTTACTTATTCTAAGATAAGGTATTTATATTTAATATATGTGGATCACTCAGAGAGGGCTTATTTTTTCCTAGTGTTGAGGAATTACTGTCAAAATCAAATGCATTAGAAAGTAGAAAATTGTATGTCCTATTTTGATGATTCAGTTTCTTGCATTTATTCTTTAAATCCTTCATCTTTTAAATCTGAGTCTATAAAGCCAAATCATAATAGCTAAAAATTATCATTGAAAAGCCACTGTGGGACAAGAGTTAAATGTTTTTTACTCTCAAAGTACTTGTATATATGTTGTGAATTTCAAGATAAGTAGCATGTATCCTATGTAAATAAAAATTTAAATCATAAGTAGTTTTTCAGAATGATACTTTTATACATGAGAAACTTGAAATTAACACAGATGGTGTACAGTATCACATTTGATTACATGATGGTATGTATTATTAAGCTGAAAATAATTTTATTTTCTATGAAATCCTTTGGAAGTCAGCTTATTACTTTGTTACTTTCTAATTGTTTATTAGATGAGTAGCTATAGTATATTATTTCATTAGGTATGCTAAATCCAATAAAAATGTAAATGATAAAGGATGTCAATCTGAGAAATTGACTGTGTTAATGCTTTCTTGATGAACATGCTAAGTATTTTTTTTTACTCTTATGTATTATTGTCATTTAATGATGTGACTATTATAGGAAGGCATATCAAATACTACATTCTACAAAATTTACAATAAAAATTTTTTGAACTTAATATAATTTCTTGTTTTGAAGTATTATGGATCTAGAGTATATAGCTTAGTGGTAGAGCCCTTGCCTAGCATTCATGAAGACCTGTGTTTGATCTCCAGTATGGCAAAAACAAAAAACAAAAAAGTATTGACCATTGCTTCTTTTTTTTTTTAAATATTTATTTTTTAGTTTTAAGTGAATACAATATCTTTATTTTCCATTTATGTGGTGCTGAGGATCAAACCCAGTGCCTCATGCATGCCATGCGCGGTCTCTCTCACTGAGACACAACCACAGCATTGACCATTGCTTCTTGTTCATCTGTTTGTGGTACATTATATCCATTGATGTCTACAAATGTAAAATAATTTGTAAATTTTATTAAGCCTTCAATAAAAGAAAATATGAAAAAGTTTGATTATAAGTAGACTTATATATTTTCCTAATCTATTTTTAAATTCCTAAGAATTGGGATAAAATTTGTATGTTTTAAAAAAATTTTTTTTGTGGTAGTTATTTATTTATTTATTGTGCCAGCGATTGAAGCCAGGTATGCTTAACTACTCATCTACACCCTAGCCCTTTTATCCTTTTACATATTTTATTTAGAGATAGGTCTCACTGAGTTACTTAGGACCTTGCTAAGTTGCTGAGGCTTTGAACTTGCAATTCTTCAGCCTCAGCCTCTTGAGCCACTGAGATTATAGGCAGGTGCCACAGTGCCCAGTTAGTTTTTGAATTTGTGATATGACTAGAATAGATTCTCTGTGATTTTTTACTTGGACAGTCCTGTTTTCTGTGAATAGAAATAGATTTATTTCATCCTTTCCAATCTGTATTCCTTTTATTATTTCATCTTTATTTTTCATTATTGTACTGTTACTTGGGTTAAATAGATTCATGAGAGTGGAAATCCTTCTTTTAGTGATCTTAGAGGGGAAAATATCCAGTCTTTCACCATGTAAGTGCAAAGTTAGGTTTTGGTAGATGCCCTTTATAAGGCTGAGGATATTTCCTTCTGTTCCTGATTTGCTGAGAGTTTTGCTTTGTTTTTTAATGTCAAGAATGGGTGGTATATTTTAATGAAGGCTTTTTCTTCATTTATTGAGATTTTTTTAAAAATTTAGTCTGTTGAAGTAAAAAGTTAATTAGTTGATTTTCAAATGCTGAATCAGCTTTGGTTTCCTAGGATAAATCCCATTTAATCATGATGTATTATCCTATTTTCTATTCTTAGATTTGATTTCCTATTGTTAAGGACTTTTATATCCTAGGTATGAGAGATCTTGGTTTCTAGTTCTGTTATAATGCATTTGTCCAGATTAATATTGCCTTCTTGAATGAAATTGGGAAGTGTTGCTTCTGTATTTGGGAAGAATTCAGATTTAGTATTATTTTTTTCTTAAATGTTAGATAGAATTTACCTATATAACTATCTGGCCCTGGAGGTTTCTTTGTTGGAAGATTTTAAACTTAAATGTTAATTTCTTTAATAGATTTAGGATTATTCAGGTCATCACTTCTTCTTGGGTGAGCTTTGACTTTTGCCTTTCAGGGAAGTTGTCAGATTTATAGGCATATAGTTGTTCTTGGCATTCCTTTTAATGTGTCTGTCATCTGTGGTGATGTCCCTTCTTTCTTTCTTCATGTTTGTAAATTTTGTCAGTCTAGCTCCAAAAACCCAGTTTCTAGTTTCATTAATTTTTCTCTGTAGTTTTCTTGTTCTCAGTTTCTTCTTGGTTTGTTTCATTCTTTCTTTCCTTCTACCTGCTTTGGGTTTAACTTGCACTATGTTTTGTAGTATATTAATGTGGATTAATTTAAGACTTTCTTTTCTAATATAGGAATTTAATATTGTAACTGTCTCTCTAATAACTACTTGTAGGTAATCTTGATATATTGTACTTTTATCTTTATTCAATTAAAATATTTTCTAATTTGCCTTGTAATTTCTTCTTTGATTCATGGATTAGTTTTAAATGTATTTAATTTGAAAATATTTAAGAATTTCCCACTTATAGTTCTGTTGTTGATTTCTAATTTAGTTTTGTTATGTTCTGGAAATAAAGTTTTTATAATTTCATTTCTTTTAAGTTTGTTAAGGTTTTCATTATAGTGTAGAATGTGATTTCTTGGTGAATATTCTGTGTGCAATTTGAAAGGAAATGTGTATTCTGCTATTGTTAGGTAGAATATATTATAAATGTTAAGTTGGTCAAGTTGGTTGATAGTGCTGTGTAGGTCTTGTATATTTTTATTGATTTTCTTTCTCCTGCTCTTCATTGCTGGGAGTATTAGTGTGTGCCTTCTTTTTATCCTGTCATTTCTATCAATTTGTTTCATGCATTTTGAAAATCTTGTGTTAGATGCATACACATTAGGATTATTCTTTATTCTTGAAAAATTGATCCCTTTATTGATATGTACTGTCCTTCTTTGTATCTTACAGTATTTCTTGTTCTAGAGTCATTTTTATGATACTAATATCTATTCCACTTAATTTAGTTATTTGTTTGATATAGCTCTTTTAGGTTTCTTTAGATTAATAGTTGCAAGATTTATATATTTTTGCTAATTTCCTTTTAGCCTACTTAAATTCTTTAATTTAAAAAGGATAGTTTTTATAAACAGCCTATAATTGAGTCTTAGGTTATCTGACAATCTTTCTTTTAATTTGTATCCAAAGGGTGTTGACATTTAATGTAATTATTGATCTAGAGGGATTAAAATACATCATCTTGCCAGATGTTTCCTATTTGTTTCTCTTATTCCTTGTTTCTTTTAATCCTTTTTTAGTTTGGATTGAGTGTTTTTGATGAGCCATTTTGTCCAGTTTGTCTCCATTATTTGCTATTTAAAACCTTTTCTTTTTTTTTTTTTTTTGAGATAGGATCTTGTTATATTGCTTAGGTGGATCTTAAACTCCCATTTTCCTGCCCCAGCTTCTTGAGTGACTGGTACTATTTGTGCATACCACCACACCTGGCTATTTATATCTTTAAAAAAATTTTTTTTAATAGTGGCCTAGATTTACAATATGTATCTTTAATTATAGCTTATGTTCTAATAATATATACAGACAGAAGTCCCCAACTTATAGGCTCAGCTTAGGATTTTTTTGACTTTATAATGGTTCGAGAAAGTGATATGCATTCAGTAGAAACCATAATTTTGAATTTTGATCTTTTCCTGGGCTGTTGATACATAGTATGATAATCTTACGGTACTAGGCGGTAGCAGTTCCCAGTTAGCCATGTGGTCATAAGGGTAAACCAGTACTCTGTGCTGTGCTATGTGGTTAAACTGTACATATTCTGTTTTCAGTTTATAATGAGCTTATCAGGATGTAACCCATTGTTAGTTGAGGAGTATCTCTACTGCTTTATTCCTATTCTTTTTCTTATTTTACATTTTTTTCAGTGATGTCTTGGGAGCAGCGGAGGTTTTCCATTTTGATGAAGTCCAGTTTATAATTTTTCTTTTTTGGATTACGTTTTTGTTGTCATATCTAAGAAATCTTTGCCTAATCCAGTGTCACAAAGATTTTCTTAAATGTGTCTACTAGAAGATTTATTATTTTGGCTTTTATATTTAGATCTGTGATTCATTTTGAATTAATTTCAATGTATGGTATGTTGTAAGAGTTCAGGTATTTTTCTTGCATATGGCTATCCCATTGATTTTCCTTGGCACCTTTTATTCCATGTGAAAGATATAGGAGAAAAACTGCAGCTATTAATATTCTTTTATCCAAGGGACCACAAGGGATACTTTCCCAGGTTTCGTACTGTGTCTCTAATTTTTTTTCTTTTTTTGAATGAACTTCTTGTGAGGTTCCTGGAAGAACCTATGAATGAATATAGATTCTCTCGGTGTCTGGGGCCTCCAGAGTTTTTATAGTCTCTTGTTAGCCCACAATCAGCCTCTAGTATTTAGTTAAAAATTTTAACTTTGTTCTTCTTATCATTGTCCTGTAGTATCTGTTTCACATAAACAAGTGTTTGTGTCCCTTCTCCCCTTGGATTTTAATTAGTTGTCCCTGTGGCCTCTGCTCTCTGATGGGTTTAAGAACCTGAATGAATTTGCATATCATCTGATGTTTGTGGTCATTGTTAAGGGTAGAATCAATGTTCTTTAGATTTTCTGCAGTCTAAAGAGAAGTTGGAAATCTAGGTTGCTTTTTATTCTTGAAATTAACAAAAGGCTCACTTAGAATTAAAGGTGCTAAATTTTTTAAAATAGGTTTTATTATGCCCAATTTTAAGCACGCACAAAAGTTGAGAAAGTAATAAAAAGAACTTCCATTATCAACCTTATTTCAGCAATTACCAGCTCAAAGGCAATCTATACCCCCATAATAAGTATTTCATGTCAGTTCATATGTTTTCTTATGGAAATGTAATATGCAAACATGTTCCTTTTCCCTAATATTTTGCTATTACATACACCATAGTCATACCTAAGGGGGGAAAAAGAATATTACTGGTATCTTACAAGACTTATCTGATACTTAATCATTTCACCTAATTCCCTCCTTCCATCCTGGAAGTTGATATTATCCTGAATTTTGTTAATCATTCCCATGATTTAATTTTTTTTGTGTTTGATCTTTATGT